CAGCCAGCCATGCTGGCTGGGGGATTCTTGGAGTTGGAGTCCACTCATCTTAAAGTGGCCAAGTTTGGACAACACTGCCTTACATCAAGGCTCACTTATCCATCATTCAGTTAGAGGTCTGCTCACGCCAAAGGTTTCTGGGGTCAGCCAAAGCCCTGTTAGGAAATGGCTGCGACTGGGTGCCCTTTTACGGCGGAGTCTCAGAAGCCTTTGTGTGAAGCGTAAAAATCAGAAACTAAACTCCTTCTATAACTATACACCAGTAAAGCAAGCTAGGCTAACGTCGGTACAGTATTGATGGTCATGGACAAAGCTAATCAGCGCAGAGGTCAACTTTCAGAGTTGCTGAAACTAGATCAAACCACGGTCGTGTGTGTGTTCGATTAAAACAAAATCTGTTTCTTTTCATCGTAAAGCATTTCAACGTGATTGATAATAAATGATAAATAAAACGGACCTATGCATCATAGCAGCAATTAAATGTACTCCAGTGTAAATTCTCCTTAATATTATTTATATTTTATAAGTGCCAGTAAGTTCTTACAGGTTCTGCATTCCTTCATAATATCAGAGGGGTGCTATAAATAAATGCTTTAATTAGGAAAACCTGCAAGTATAAATTACAGATGTTTATACAGATATTTCAGATTTTCAGTTACCTTCATTCCCAGTCAGCTCCAAATTTCACAATAATCTCTCCTTTTGTAAGATATCTCTGTGGGTTATTGCCCGCCCGTCCTTTTCTTGAATTTATGCACGTGCAGTCAAGGTATGTTAGTCAGATAGGGAGAAGAGCCTGATCTGGATTCTTTAAATCAATTTTTGACTCTGCTGTAACGCCTTAAGTAAGAATTGGTCCCTCAGAGCTAGCCTGAATCAGTTCAGGTTCTGATAGGTTCTGTTTTCCAGTAGATCTGATTCTTTGTCCTTAGCATCCTCAAAGCTTGAACTAGGTTTCGCATTCGTATCGTCCAGACCTCAGTAGGCTCTCTCATGATCCCGTGGTCCTTATTCACCACATTAATCAGCAACCACACACTCCATATAGGTTTAGCAACTCGTTGATGGAACTGTCATGTTCTTGTATAAAAAGCGGTCTAGTATTTTAGGATTTTTTTTTAAAAGAAGGAACTACTGTATAGAAGATAAAATCTGCTTCAAGAACCAGAAAGAATTAGATTCTCTTGGCTGCAACGGACAGATAAATGAAGAAAAAAGAAAAAAAAATCAATCAAATTCGAAGTCAACGTTTTGGGAATGAAAAATCAACGAGTGTCCTTGAGCAGAACATGAACATGTAGCAGAACTTTTATATAAAAGTAAAAGATTTAAATGGCATTATTTAAAATATTCAGAATATTAAAGAGAGATCTCTATATGCTGTAAGACTGCTGTGGGAAACAGATTTAGCCACAGAGATTTAAGAAGGTAGTTGGACCACAATGTGGAAGAAGCAGTTGCTAAAGAGAAAATCAACATGTTTTAAGCAATTGCCCCTCAAAACAATCCATAGATTCCTTTTAGAATTAACAGCATGAATCCACAGGTCTGCAGTATGGCTGGAGATGACTAAGGGGAGTTCAGCCATTTCTTCTTTAATTTAAGAAATTAGATAGATAGATAGATAGATAGATAGATAGATAGATAGATAATGTATCATCAAGTCTGTGTTAGTGATCATATAGATAGATTTTTCTCTAGGATAATCTGTCCCCAACCTGGTCCTTCAGGTCTTCCAATGTTGTACCTGTTATCCTTGTAATTGAGTCCATCCATCTTACTGCTGGTCCTCCTCTTTCTTTCCTTCCACTTTTCCCAACATCGTAGACTTCTCCAAGAGTTAGGTCTTCACACAATATTTCACACAGTATAATAATTTGCACCTGGACATTTGTGCCTCAAGTGAGGACTCTGGGTTGACTTGTTTTACACTCCATTTGTTTGTTTCCTTGGCTATCCATGTGTTCTCAGATACCTTCTCCAACACTGACATTCAAAGGTATCAATACTCTTCCTATTCTGTTTCTTCAAAGTCCAAAGAAGGAGTCTGGTAGCACCTTCTCAGATTAACAAATTTTATTAATTTATTAATTTTAATCAGAATATTAATATTAAGCTTTTGTGAACTACAGCTCACTTTATCAGATGCAATGAAGCGACTAGAGTGATGTAGGATTTAAATTAGGATGAGGTGGGGGAAGGAGGGGAAGACAGGATTGTTATGCCAATTTAAGTAGATTAATTTAAGATTTAGTCCCTCTTCTGGAATAGGACAAAACTGGGTGGCCCAATGCAGAAGAGGGCAGGACTGCTAAACCTGATGAAAAACTCATGCCCTCCTTTGCTTCTGACCACTGCAATAGTCCAGCCAGGTGTGTGGCCTTAGGGATCTATGACCAGATTGGTTAAAACAGGTGTTTGGGTTGTGCAATTGGTGATAGAAGAAAACTAAATACCCAATACCATTTCCCGATTGTGTTTGCTACCCCCTTTGCCCAGGGGGACATGCATAGAGGCCTTATAGTTATCTACCATGATATCTTGTATGGCCCTGGGTAAGAAAGAAACTAGGAGATATACGTTTTAAAATATACACATGATCTTACAAAAGCTCAAAACACAAAGAAATATATATGCTTCTGGATTCCCCCCCAATTCACCCCAATTTTATCTTTTTACAGACTCACAGAAAGCTATCCTATTTAGGGACCCTTTCAACAAATCATGTTTTCAGTATCTTAGACGACCAAGACATGTATGAGTAATATGAACCTTCTTGATAATGTATTATTAAACAGACACTCCTGTTATTCTGTTAATGTTTCATTTATTGTCATTTAAAGAATAAAGAATATTGAACCATGAAATATTAAGAGCTGACATAATATTATACTGTGAATTATTTTTTTGCAGAACTGTGTCCGAGAAGGGCCAAATCCTACTGTCCTATGGCTGGAAGAAAAGTGTCAGATGCCAACAATTTTCTGTCTATTTGTATATTTATGATAACCTTATGGAATTTCACCCATGCATCCATGGAACATGGATTTATAGCAAACTATTCAAAGAGTTCCCTGACTATTGTTCCTAAACATTTATCAGCCCAAACAACAGTTCTGGATTTGTCGGATAATAGAATACATGAACTAGAAATCTCTGATTTTCATTCTCTTTCCAACTTACAAGTGCTAATTCTGTCTAATAATTCTATCAGAGAACTTGATTTCAGTGTTTTTCAGTACAACAAAGTCTTAGAGCATCTTGATCTATCTCACAACAAATTGTGGAACTTTTCTGGTCTTCCTGTTAAAAGCCTCAAGCATCTAGATCTCTCTTACAATGACTTTATCACCATGCCCCTGTCCCCTGAGTTTGGCAGAACGTTAAAGCTGAACTATTTTGCCCTCAGTATTAGAAATATTTCCATTGTCAGTGCTCTTACGTATTTACAAGTGGACACTCTGTTTTTGGACTTAGAATATCTTTCTGAATATAGCTCTGGAAGCCTTCTAGTGTTCAATGCAAAGACTGTTCAGATTGTGGTCCCTCAAAATGCAAACTTTCACGTTCTCTTGGATCTGCAGTTCAATGGTACAGAAAGTTTAGAGCTATCTAAGATCCCATCGGAGCAAGTTGAAGATTTAGGAACATTTCTGTCAAAGCTAAACAAAAAAAGTGCATTGCTAAATCTAACAGTAACTGATATAACATTAACTTGGAAAAAACTCATTGAAGTTTTTGAAGCAGTGGGGAGATCCAGCATTAATTACTTGACCATATTATATCCATCCCTTACTGAAATCAATTATGAATATTTTAATGGTGCTGATACCTCATTAAAGGGTTTAGCCATCAAATATGTACAAGTTTATACAGTAGAATTTGACCAGGACATTGTGTACAGAGCTTTTTCAAACATGAATATTGAAACCTTGACTATTTCTGATTCTAGCATATTCTATATGCGTTGTCCTGCAAGACCCAGTAGATTTAAGTATTTATGTTTTCAAAATAACACATTGACTGACACAATTTTCGAAGATTGCAATAACTTAGGTATGCTAGAAACACTCATCTTACAAAAGAATAGGCTTGATGATCTTACCAAAGTGAGTTTAATGACAACAAGCATGAAGTCTCTGAATTATATGGATATAAGTTATAATCATTTGCAATACAAAGATAGTGGAAACAAGTGCAACTGGAATGGAAATATAATTAAACTGAATTTGTCATCTAACAAGTTAACGGAATCTGTTTTTAGATGTTTACCGAACAATATCCAAATTTTGGACCTACAAAGTAATCAGATTTCAACCGTGCCTAGGGAGATAATTGACCTGATTGCTTTAGAGGAGTTAAATTTGGCTTCTAACAAACTGAATGCATTCCCTGGATGCGGCTATTTTAGAAACCTTCAAGTACTTAATGTAGAAAATAATTTTGTTCTCGATCAATTTTCTGAATTCTCCCAGACCTGTCAGAATATTCAAAGATTAAAAGGAGGACGTAATCCCTTCAGGTGCAACTGTGAATTAAGGCAGCTCATTAATCTTCAAAAACAATCTGTGGAATTAATTGGTTGGCCTGATTTTTATAAGTGTGAATATCCAAGTGACTTACGGGGAACTCTTTTAAAAGACTTTCATATTTCTGAACTTGATTGCAATGTGACTCTCATGATTACAGTAGTTCTAGTTGTTGCTCTTGTCCTAATGGCCATTGTTTCCTTCCTCTGCATCCGCTTTGATATTCCCTGGTATTTCAAGATGATCTGGCGTTGGACTCAAGTAAAACATCGGATATGGAAGAAGAAATCAGAAGAGATCCTTGAGAACGTCCAGTACCATGCATTTATCTCCTATAGTGAGCATGATTCTGACTGGGTCAAAAATGAGCTAATTCCCAATTTGGAGAAGGAAGACGGGTCCCTAAGGATCTGCCAACACGAGAGGAACTTCATTGCAGGCAAGAGTATTGTTGAGAATATCATTGACTGTATTGAGCAAAGTTACAAGTCAGTCTTCGTGTTATCTCCCAATTTTGTGCAGAGCGAATGGTGCCATTACGAGCTGTACTTTGCTCATCACAAGTTATTCAATGAAAATGGTGATGGTTTAATTCTTATTTTGCTGGAACCAATACCGGCGTATATCATTCCTGCCAGATACTACAAACTCAAAGCTCTCATGGCCAAGAGGACCTACTTGGAGTGGCCAAAAGAGAAGAGGAAGCATGCATTTTTCTGGACTAATCTTAGGACAGCTCTTCAGATTAAACTGCCATACAGTGAAGAAAACAGAGCTCTAGGTAAGAATACTAACTAGGAAACAAACTGATATTCATTGAGGTTTTTTTTTTTTTTTTAATTATCAGATAAATAATTTTGGGTAGTATGGCTGCATACCTTAACAGAAATACAGGCGAAACTTGAAAAATTAGAATATCGTGCAAATGTTCATTTATGTCAGTAAGGCGACTCAAAAGGTGAAACCAATATAAGAGATAGATAGATAGATATGCAAAGCGAGATGAGCTGTACTTTGCTCATCACAAGTTATTCAATAAAAATTAGAATATCGTGCAAATGTTCATTTATGTCAGTAAGGCAACTCAAAAGGTGAAACCAATATATGAGATAGATAGATAGATATGCAAAGCGAGATATGTCAAGCCTTACTTTGGTATAATTGTGATGATTATGGCATACA